TCTTACCATTCCATTCCCTCCTGTCTGAGGTGAAAACAACAGGGACTGCTTTTCCAGTTCTGGAAGAAAAACATGTTTTGTTATTCTGTTGTGACAATGCACTTTTCTGTATAGTACTGTACATTTTGGCATGTACCATTACAGGCTTCAGTATACAAGTTGGGTTTGTTCTTCACGGTGTATCTTTGTAATAAATAAGATAGTTCTGGCCACCTTTGTCTGCTTATGATGTGTGTTATTCTCTGGGAGCTTTAGTCCTTTCCTTTTTTTTTTTTTCCCCTCATCAATATTTTCCCCCCAGAAAGATGGGTCTCATTAAATAATGAAAATTTACACTTTTTATTCAAATGTTATTTATCTCACTTTCATTTTTGTTCAAGCCTCTGGAAGTGAGGCATTGTGCATAGACTTTGAGAAGCTGTGGCTTTTGTGCGTCACAATGTGGACAGTCCTGTGAAGCAAAGGAAAGGCTCTGACACACCAGGTTGACATCTTTCCTTTGATCCCTTTTATTTGAATGAACTGAAATATAAACTTTAGGTAATTACTCAGTTTAGAATCCCCCCAATATGTTTTTTGTTTAAACACAAAAGCTAACTCTTGAAGTCAAGCAATACATAACAACTCCATAAAACTCTTTATCAGTCATGTGCCAGATTGAATATTGTTTAGGAGATGTAGAGTTTAGCAAGACCTGGTGGTACACACCTGGAATGCCAGCACTCAGGAGGCTGAGACCAGAGGATCACTCAAAGTTCAAGAACACCCAAGCTATACAGTGAGTTACATACATAGCAAGACTGTATCTCCAAAAGTAAAGCCAGAGAGAAATATGGAGTTTAAAAACTGGCATATAAGTAAAAATTAACTCTTAATGAAAGTATAACATACAGGAAAGCACACAAATCATTGGTGTCATACTTTTCACAAAGCAGTACACCAAGGTTGGGGTGTGGCCTGGTGGTGCAGCACAAGCTTAGCATCCACAAGGCCAGAGTTCAGTACCCAGCACCCTCCTGGAAGAAGCCGCTGGTATATAGCCCACCCAGGTGGAGGTATTATCAGATCCCAAAACTACTGTGCTCTGCCTTTCCGAAGTTCATCAGTATCGAGAACTCACACTAGGGTTTGGCTTTGAGTGAGAGCTGAACTGTATATAAGTGAGCTCACACAGGAATAATCCTTGTGTCTGACTCCATTAGTGGAAATTTGTATTTGGGCTGAGGATGTAGCTCAGTGGTGAAGTGCTTGCCAAGCAAGACAAGAGCTGGGGTAGGAGATGAGAGACATCATTTTTAAACTAGTGGTTTTCCCATTTTTATTGACTATGAAGAATTCATTCTATCACAGGAATATGAAATCCACATGTCAAAGGAACTTTTTCCAAAACATGATGGAAGGATTCTGAACTAAACCATCAACTGAAAGTCCTACCTAAAGACATATTGGTTACTACTATTAAAAAACAAAACAAAACTATCCAGTCTGGAAATATTCCCAATTGACACTGAAAGTAGTGTAAGATTTATTTGATAGCATACGTCTATTATCCAAGTAAGTGGGCTTATTTCCAATGCCCGCTTTTAAGACCGTAGAGTTGGATTTAGAGACTGCCCGCGAAGAACAAAGCCCAAATTGGACTGTAGAATTGTTCCAGAAAAGACCGCACTGGTTTCAGTGTCATTTTCTTCGATGCTGCAAGCCAAGAGCCTCAGCCTGTAATGACTCTGCATGCATGCATCTGCCTCCACACCTCCCTCACAATGGGACCAAAGTCCCATTGGGGGAATCTGCTGACAGCACCCACAGTTCATATGACTCCCTGTGTCAGAGTCTCAAGGAGCCAGGGAAAGTAGTTCTCTGGACTCTGTACTAGGTACTTTAAACACCTAACAAGAAAATGTTCCCAAATTTGTCAAATTCTGGATGGTCTAAAATTATGGTAAGTTCCATTCTGTAAGCTTTCTAT